ATATAATTCTTTAATAATTAATTAATATAAAAATGTGAAAGTGAAGTGGGGGAACCGGAAAGACGAACCGTAGGCCTTAAGACACTGACTCGGTCCCAAACGGCGGGGACCGCCCACAAACCAAGCTCTACACTGTTTTTCATGACCCATCATTTTCTTACATTTATTTATAACCATTTTCCATTTATATACAAAGTACACAAATGATCCTCTGACTACAGAGTATTATTTATTAAGTCCTTCGATTATTAAAGTTACAAATTGATCCTCTAAAATATTACTTTATTAAGTCCCTCGACTATTAAAAGTTACAAAATGATCATTTGGTTATTCATTATGTTCCAAACTCATTTTTTTGTTAAAAATTGACAGTTGTCTAAGTTGGACGTTAACATGATAATTGGGTCTAGGATCATATTTTATCATATCACAGTCAACATGTTAACGTTCAACTCAAAATACCATCATTTTTTAACAGAAAATGACGAGTTTGGAACATAAATGGTCAGGTGACTATTTTGTAACTTTTAGTAGTCGAGGGACTCAACAAAGCAATACTCTGTCTAAGTTGGACATTAACATGATAGTCGGGTGAGATTCTAGGATGAAATCTTATCATATCACAGTCAACATGTTAACATTCAGCTCAAAAAATCATTAAATTTTAACAGAAAAGGACAAGTTTCGAACATAATGAATAGTCAGGTGACCATTTTAATTTTTAAAAGTTGAGGGACTTGAAAAACAATACCCTATAGATACCCTATAGTTAGGGACCATTTGTGTACTTTACCCTATATATATACCTTTAGTTTTTTAATGATCCGACTGTTAAATTGGTAAATATAATTATATAGGATAAATTACATGTTTAGTACCTAAACTATCAGTTGGTATATTTCAATACCTAAACTTTTAATTTTTTAAAACTATATCTAACATTTAGTTTTTTGTTTTGTTTTAGAACCTCGTTGTTAAAAATTTAACGGGTGGTTTGCATGTGACACCTTTTTATGGGTAAATTATATCATTTATTACTCAACTATCTTTTTACTTCTATTTGATCACTAAAGTTTGTTTTTTTAATTTTTACGTAAATTTCAAAACTCCTAATTTAATCACTCTAGCTTTAATTTTTTTTTTTTTTAATGATATTATAAATAATAATAATAATAAATGTTATTTTACAAAATTTAATAAAATAAACTAGAGTGATTAAATAGGAGCAATATGAAAGTTTAGTAGTTAAATTGAAAATTTTAAACTTTAATACCAAATAGGAGGGAGAAGATAGTTGAGAGATAAATGATATAAGTTACCCATAAAAAAATGCAGTGTCGTTTTTAACGGCGAGATACTAAAATAAAACAAAAACTAAATGTTAGGTATGATTTTGAAAAGATTAAAAATTGAGGTACTAAAACGGATCAAAACAATACTTTAGGTACTAAATGCGTAATTTACCTTTATATTTATATACACGTATTTTTTTAATCAAACAGATATTTTTATCATATCATCGAATTATTGGGTTTATAAATAAATATTTTACCGTTGGTAGTTTTACTATTAAATGAGATAAAAAAAATTAAGTGCATAATCTATCTTAAATATAATATGAAATATAACTGTTGAATTATTAAAATATTGATCGTATTAAAGGTTATGAACTCATTAAAACTGATTTAATTTTACATTAATATAAATTTGAATAATATAACTCATTTTCTAAATTTAAACTCATTCTTAAAATGAACTATTTTTTTCAATATTTTAAGGGTAAGTTATGCATTTAGTACTTAAAATGTTGGTTTTTGTTTGTTTTAGTATCTAAACTTTTAATTTTTTTCAACACCATAACTAACGTTTAGTTTTCATTTTAGTACCTGTCGTTAAAAACTTAACGTGTTTAGTACCTAAATTATCAGTTTTGGCCCGTTTTAGTACCAAAACTCTCAATTTTTTTTAAAAAATTAACGTTAAATTTTGAACGGGATACTGAATGAAACAAAAACCAAAGTTTTTTAACGGTGAATACTAAATGAAACATAAATTAAACTTTTCGTATGGTTTAAAAAATTGAAAGTTTAAATACTAAAACACACCAAAAATAATAGTTTAGATACTAAACCCGTAATTTACTCATTTTTTTAAAAACATCATCGAATAAATCTTCGGATTTAGAAGAATAATCAAAGTGGATGTAATGGTGAAGAAAAGAAATGTAAAGTGGGTTACTAAAAGGGTTAAAAAGTTTGACTGAATATCAATGCATGATGGACTGGTGGTTGACATATGGCATCGTTATCAATTGTCACCATGAATGGTTCATAATTGGTGGGGGGCTCCTTTTCCACTTCTCTTTTTAACCCTTGATACATATGCTCATTGTAGAAGACCTAGCAAAGGGTAGGGTCCCATAGAGCATCTTAAATTTCATGGGTAAGTTACGTATTTAGTACCTAAACTATCAGTTTTTATTCAATTTAGTATTTAGACTTTCTATTATTTTCAAAAGCATACCTAACATTTAGTTTTTTTCATTTTAGTACCCCGATGTTAAAAACTTAACGTGTTTAGTACCTAAACTATCAGTTTTGGTCTGTTTAGTACCTGAACTTTTAATTTTTTCAAAACTTAACGTTAAATTTTGAACTAGGTACTAAAATAAAACAAAACTATATTTTAGGTATGATTTTGAAAACAAATTGAAAGTTTAGGTAAAAAGGGACCAAAATGATAGTTTAGGCACTAAACACATAATTTATCCTAAATTCTTTTATTGACCTCAGTGATAAAAAAAATATTATTCTGTTTCAAATTTGATCAGTTATGTCTACAGAGTGTATATCGTTATCAATAGTCTATTAAAATTTATGAACATATTTATAATCATTATACACACCCCTCTTTTCTTAACATTGTCCCATAGTAGTTGAGTGTAGATATCCATTAATGGAGCCTTACATCTTTGGGGTACCTTAAATTAAACCATGACCTTCCTTTAGGATTCAGCAAGGCACAGAAAGTGCCCTCCAGTACCCTACATTTAGCTATTGTCATTAAAGACATTAGGGTTTTTTTGGCATTAAAGTGATGTAGCAGACCAATTAATCAAGTATAGGCAACATTTGCAGAGATGAATCAGTTTGCAGTGACTCTCACAGCACAAAATCCCCACCTTATCAATGGATTCCATTTGTGGCCAATTCCCTTGACATAACCTCAACTTATGTTTTCAACTTCCATTTGTGCTCCCTCTGCCCTTTCTCTCTCTTGGGTTGCTTAATTCTGTACTAAATTATTTTTTATTTATTTATTTATTAAAAATATGTTTTCGTCTCTCATAAAATTTTATAAATTCAAATTTATCCATTGAAATTTTAAAAAATTAAATTTGCCCTACCAACATAAAATCTTTCGTTCGTGTCTTTATAGACCTTATTTTTGAAAGTTTAACAATTTAACTCCTCTTTATATTTGCTCTTAGATTTATCTTTGAATATTATTATAATTTTGAATTACGATAATCATTTAAATCTTGTAAAAAAATGAACGGCTAGGATTGAGAAAGGAAAACATGACAAAGAAGAAATTAGGGTTAAAGAATAAGTACAACATAAAAGGCAATGATGAGATATTTGTAAAGACAGAGTGAAACCCTATTCAGTTGGGCACTCTCACTGACATGGTGGGTTAGCCTTAAATTAGCCAAAGATGTGAAATTCGAGTCGGTCCAAAATATTTTGTGAAACCCCTATGATTTATGTGGTTCATGGCATGGCATAGCTTTTATAATTGAAGGCTAAATATGGACTATGCTGCAAATGATTCCATGTGGGGTCTGTGGATTCAATTCATTCATCTTTCTCCAACTGGTTCACCTCTACCTAGATCTCAATGAGACTTGATAATCACATTTGGGGTCCAATTCAGCAAAAGACCCTACCAAGAATTAAGTTATTCAATTAGGTAATGTTGATTCTCTTCGATCGAGATTTAAACCTAATTTACTCTATTAAGTTGATCATCTTGATTTTGGTCGAACCAATTAAACCCCAAACCCTGAATCCAAAAAATACACCGTATCAAATATTGGGACTAGCAAAGGTATGAACGTTCATTGTAAATTATTGAATGATTTAACAATGAACACTCAAATCCCTACAGTCGCTGGTGTTCAAACCCAGAACCTCTAGAGATAACAACAATATTTAACCACTGAGTAAGCTTGATTCATGTCGTAAAGAAAACATCTTAAACATAAATATAGCATAAATACTACACTATATTTGAATCCTCAACTAAATGTAAAACCGATAAGGACAAAAACGGGTCGGGTTGAATTTGGGTAAGTATGGGACTGTTTTAAGTTGGGTCAAAACATGGGTTAGAAATTTACCACCTTATGGGCTCACCAAAGGCCCATGAGGCTGATATTGTTTAAAACCCCAATGTATATTGAGTAAATATATCATGTTAAATATTTTATTAATATATATATATATATATATATATATCATAGCAAGTATTTTAAAATACAATAAAAATATAAAACATTAAATAATTTATAAAAAATGTGACATTAGTCCTATCCATTTTTATTTTCTCGGATAAATGTATTTATCATTATTTTTGCATGAAGAAAAAAGTTATTCACGTGATTGGTTGATGGAATGAGACAGTAATATAAAAATTAAATTGGGTTCAGTTATAAAATTAGAAGTTTAAACTAAAGTTTAATATGATAAAGGACTGAAACTGTAATTCTACCTAAAACTGTAGAAATAACATTGAGCGCCTAAGCCTAAAATTTGAAAGCATGGCCATGGAACCCTGAGTGACACGTGTCAAACATTCTACTGACATGAAACCAGCACCCAATAAGACCGCCCATTTCTTCAGTTTGAAAATTTGCCAAATTCGCCATCTTCGAATACGAAGTGCCAAAGGCTTCTCTTTATCATTTGCTGCCTCCGGTACATCCCTTAATCACCGTTGAACCCTTTTGAAGCAATCGCCCATTTCTTCTAAGGTTAGTAGTTTTTTTTGTAAATTTGAACTAGCAGAATCCATTTTCTCGATCTGTTTCTTCTTCGTTCTTTTTTTTCTTCATTTTTTGGGAATTTTCTGGTACCCGTTTACTTTTCTGCTTGTTTTCCTACATTTCATTGCAAGTTCTTGATACCCATTTGCTTGTTTCTGCATTTTTTTTGTGGGTTTGAATCCTTAAGCAATGGCTGAGTCGAGAGACAGACTCGTGAGAAATGTTGATTTAGCGGAAGTATTCGCTCGAAGACGGATTGGGCATTTGGGAATCCTCTCGCAAGAACGATGGAACTTTTATGTAACAACCCGGAATAAAATTTAGAGAAAAAAAAATTTAATTAAGTAATTTGGCAAATTTGAGGATTAAATCGAAAGTTTTCAAAATTATAGGCCATTTTAGAAGTTAAAGGAAATTCAGGGACCAAGCCCTGCATTACTCCTTTTAGTGTCGGCAGAAAATTCATTTAAGGGTATGAATGGTTTTCTGTTTTCAAAACAGAAAACAATTGTGAAATTCCCCTCCCGCACTCTACTTCAAAGCCGATTCCGACGCCGTCCGAATTCCGATCGTTGTTTTGAAACCACCGTTGTGTTCATTCGAGCGAGGAACAAACCCTTCAAATTAATTGAAGCGAAACGCGGCCAAACGTCGGGAATTTCCAGTCAAAGTAGCGACGGTTTTGTTAGCTCTATCGCCGAAAATCTTAAATTCACCGCTGATCGTTGCTCCGTTTACGACACCTCCCGCACCATCGTGTTCCTTGTGCCGTTCCGAGTTCACCGGTGTCAACCTTGTCCGCCGTAGACGGCGGCGCGTGAGGAGGTGGTGCAGTCAAAGATTCGGCCGATTTGAAATCGAGCTCTCCCGCCGTTCAAAATTTGAACCGATCGTTGTAAGTATCTTGAAATCGCTCAAAATAATTTTTAGAAATTTTTTCGGGATTTTTAGGGCCCCGAGGACGCCTCACGCGCCACACGCCGCCGCAGGGAGTGGCTGCTGGAAACCGGTTTAACCGGTTTTCAACCGGTTCTGACCGGTTTGACCGGTTTCAACCGGTTCGAACCGGTTTGACCGGTTGAATCGGTTTGACCGGTCTGACCCGACCCGACCGTTGACCCGACCCGACCCGACCGTTGACCCGACCCGACCCGACCGTTGACCGTTGACCGTTGACCGTTGACTTTCTTTGACCAAAACTTAAAATGGCTTTGACCGAGCATTAAACGACCGTTAATCTTTTCCGAGTATACCTATCCTGATAGTTTTCGACGTGCCGAATCCGTTTCCGTGGTCCGTTTTGTCAAATTCGAATCCGAAGGTCTCCAAATCTACGGTCAAAGTGGTTGACTTTGACTTTGACCAAGAATTTGAATTTTCGAAAAGTCATACTTTATGTTTTTCGACGCCCTGATTCCGATTCCGTAATCCGTTGGCCAAATTCAGACTCGAAATACTCAAATTGATAGTCAAACCCGAAAAATGCGTATATACTTAAGAAGTTTAGCTTTGAACAATTAAATAGGATTTGAGACTGATAAATATTATTGTTTGAAGGTACAAGAGACTCTCCGGATCGTTCGACAGCTCGACCCAGCTCTTCTAGATCAGTTAAACCACGTGTGCCAGTATTTACCGTTCAAAACTGTAGCAGAGCGTGGTGAAACCAGCAATCAGTAGATTTGTTATTTGAATCTATTGTCGAGGTGTGTTCCCTACTTGTTATTGAACTGTTTTATTGGTTTTAATACGTGGTACACCGAATTCATTGGCTATTGTTTTTATGGATGCACCAATTTAATGTGACAATTTATGGAATATGGCTGCTATCTAATTTTTGTTTTGAAATGGTATATGATTACCATGTTTTTGGATTTATGGAGTTTATGTCACGGTGCAATTGAATTTTGGAATTGAAATACGATGGAATAGCTCTGATCAAGCTAACTGGGCCTAATGTGACTCTTGAGGGCCCCAAGATGTTTCATTAGGTCGGCTTTCCTTTGCTGTGTGCTTAGGGTAAGCTATATGGACTTATTGACTTGGGCTTAAGGATACAAGCTTCAGAGCCTATCCTTAAGTCGGCTTTCTTTTGCTATGTGCATAAATTAAGCTATATGGAAAATAATTTTGGGAACTACTGATGGTGTACCAGAAAAGGGTTTAAACTATGATTTTCAAAAGTTAAACTCTTTTACGAATTTGTGAGATTACTGGAATATGATTTGTACCTATTGTGATTTTATGGAAATGTTGGGACACACTGAGCCTAGCTCACCTTTTGAAAATGTTTTCCCCTTTCAGATACTGTTGGGTAGATACCTTGGTTCGAGCACTTGGAGGATCAACATATCTCTTGAAGTAAATCAGATTGTAATGTTTTTATCTGGCAAGTTTACTTTATTTTGGTGACATGGACCTTATTTTAAAATATCGGATTTTATAATGATAACACTTTTGCTACTACTGCTCGGTTTATTGTTTTGAATTTGAAGACATGTTTTAAATTAAATTATTATTTATTTGTACTATATTTACAAGTTGGATTTTTGATAGTATAAATTGTTTATAATTTCATGTTATTATAATGTGATCCACTAGACTTAGTCGAAACGCATAGGCCGGGTCTAGGGGGTTACATTTATTGGTATCAGAGCTTTTGGTTTTAAACCCTCGGACTGTGTATGAGTCCACATTGAAAATACGGTTTTGAAATATTTTACAAAACGAGTTACTAAGGCCATGTCACAAAGTTATCAAGATTTTAACTATGTTTGAGACTCCAAGTGCTTATCTAACCCTAAGTTTTATCTTCTGTAGTAAACTTGAGATCCATCAAAATGAGTGCTAGACGTAGTCGTCGAACTAGCCGTGGACGAGGTCGAGTGGCTAGATTCGCAGATCCGATCGATGAGATACGGGTAGATCCCCCACCTCCGATAGGTGATCATGCTCCTACGACCCCAACGGATCTGCCTCCTGCCGCTGGTATTGGCATGACTACACCGATAATAGGAGCGACCGATATTGAGTTAGAGTCTACCGGAGTTGCTTTGGATGAGAATTTTGGTAGACAATTTCTGCAGTTAATACAGGGAGCAGTCAGAGCTACTGGTGTTGTATCTGAGGTTCCTATTTCGCAGACTTTGATTGCCAATGGAGTTAGAACTTTTGGGGGACAGATAGGTGGAGCTCCTACTGAAGCTGAGGATTGGCTCCAGGATACAGAGAGACGCATGGATCAGTTGGGTTTGGACTCAATTAAGAGATATCAGGGTGCTGTGGCGATGTTAGATGGCAATGCCTACACTTGGTGGGAGTCAGTGACCAGTAGTGTTCCTACCGATCGTTTGACCTGGAATTTCTTTAAGGATCGCTTTCGGAGCCGTTTTCTGGGAGAGCGCTACTTAGCTCAGAGACGACAACAGTTTCAAGACCTGGTTCAGGGAGACATGACTGTTTCTGAATATGAGATCGAGTTCCTGAAATTGCTGAAGTATGGATTCAGTATGGTACCTACGGAGAGAGATCGATGTCGTAAATTTGCCCTTGGACTCAGATACGAGCTGCGTAGGCAAGTTGTAACCCATCAGGATGAGATATTTGATGTGCTGGTGGGCAGAGCCAAAGATGCGGAAGATGTGGAGTTTTTAGCTTCTGGTAGAGAGCGTGTTGATCAAGATCGATCTAAGAAATTTTCAGGCCCGATGGAGTCATCAGCACAGTCCGGAAAGAGGACTCGTACTTCAGCTCCTCAGAGAAGCAATACACGTTTCAGGCCTGCAGCATCCTCACCTTTAACTGTCAGTCGAGGCGGTTCCTCGTCGTATTATAATGGGCCCCTTTGTGAGTATTGTGGTAAACAACACTCAGGAGAGTGTCGTAAGAAGATGGGTCTTTGCTATCAGTGTGGATCTAGTGGTCATTATCGGAGGGATTGTCCTCAGTTAGTTTCGTTTGAGCAGACCACTACCCAAACTCCTGTGCGTTCGCAGACTACAATACAGACCCCAATTAGAGATCGTAGTCAAGGAAAGACTCGAGGATCAGCGTCCAGGACAGACAGTAGAGCCCGACCTCAGCAAAATAGAGGGCCAACAGCTTCTGAGGCTAGACAGCCAGCTTTGGTTTATGCAACTAGACGTTGTGATGACAGAGATGAGCCTGAGGTTATTGCAGGTACATTTACTATTTATTCTATCCCATACTTTGCATTACTGGACAATGGCTCCACTCACTCCTATGTATCGAGCTCAGTATCTCGAAACCTTTAGATTCCGATAGAGAACACTGAAAATACTGTTACAGTTACGAGTCCAGTAGGACAAGCAGTATTAGTGAATAAAGTATTTCGGCGTTGCCCTCTCGAGGTTCAGGGAGAAATTTTTCTCGCTGATCTTATGGAGCTTCCTCTAGAGGAGTTTGATCTAATTCTTGGAATGGATTAGTTGAATAAACACAAGGTAAAGCTGGATTGCGAATACAAGCGGGCTACTCTGAAGACTTCAGATGGTCGGACTGTTGTGTTAATTGGGGAACGGCGTAGCTATCTCTCCAATATAGTTTCAGCGATGGAAATTGATCGTATGATCCGAAAGGGATATGAGACCTTCATTGCTTGTATTTTGAACACCAAAGGTGCATTGTCCACGATCGAGGAAATTCGTACAGTTAGCGAGTTTCCTGATGTTTTTCCGGAGGAGTTGCCTGGGTTACCTCCTGATAGAGAGGTAGAGTTCGAGATTGAGACTTATCCAGGATCTTCACCTATTTCTATGGCACCTTATCGTATGGCTCCAAAGGAACTTAAGGAGTTGAAAGTCCAATTGCAAGAATTATTCGATCGAGGATTTATCCGACATAGTACTTCACCATGGGGAGCTCCAGTTCTATTCGTGAAAAAGAAGGATGGGTCGCTAAGATTATGTATTGACTATCGGAAATTGAACAAGATGACGGTCAAGAATAAATACCCATTACCCAGGATTGATGACTTATTTGATCAATTGCGAGGAGCTACTGTATTCTCTAAGATTGATCTTCGTTCGGGGTATTATCAATTGAAAGTTAAAGGACCCGATGTTGCAAAAACGGCCATTTGCACTAGATATGGTCATTATGAATTTTTAGTGATGCCTTTTGGTTTGACGAACGCTCCTGCAGCTTTTATGGATTTGATGAATCGGGTGTTCCGACCATATTTGGATCAATTTGTGGTGGTCTTCATTGACGATATTCTGATCTATTCTCGTACGGAGGCAGAGCATGACGAGCATTTGAAGATCGTTCTGCGGACTTTGAGAGAGCATCGTCTATATGCCAAACTAAGCAAGTGTGAGTTTTGGCTTCAAGAAGTGTCATTTCTGGGGCATATTATTTCTGCGCGAGGTGTTCAGTTTAATCCCAGCAAGATAGAGGCTATTATGAATTGGAAACGACCTAAGAACGTGTCTGAAATCCGCAGTTTCTTGGGCTTGGCTGGTTATTATCGACGTTTTGTTGAGGGCTTTTCGATCATTGCTTCTCCTTTGACAAAGTTGTTAAGGAAGAATGTGTCGTTTGACTGGGGCGAGGCACAACAGGAGAGCTTTGAGAAATTAAAGGCGGTTTTGACTCAAGCACCGGTGTTGATTCAACCACAGTCCGGGAAGGATTTTACAGTGTATAGTGATGCTTCACATTCAGGACTTGGTTGTGTTTTAATGCAGGAAAGTAAGGTGGTGGCTTATGCATCCCGTCAGCTGCGACCGCATGAGTGTAATTATCCTACTCACGATTTAGAGTTGGCAGCAGTAATTTTTGCCTTGAAGATATGGATACACTATCTTTATGGAGAGAAGTGTTACATTTTCACAGATCATAAGAGCTTAAAGTATCTTCTGACCCAGAAGGAACTTAATTTGAGACAGCGTCGCTGGTTAGAGCTTCTAAAGGATTATGATTGCGTGATTGATTACCACCCTGGTAAAGCTAACATTGTAGCAGATGCTTTGAGTCGAAAGACGGTATCGGAGTTGAGGTCTTTAATGGCCAAGATGAATTTATATGACGATGGCACTTTGTTAGCAGAATTGCAAGTTAAGCCGACCTTGGTTGATGAGATCAAAGCTAAGCAGCCCCTTGATAGCTCCTTGCTTTCCATCTTTGAGCAAGTAGAGCAGGGGACAAACACAGATTACGCAATTGATCAGGATGAAGTTTTATGCTTTAAAGGTAGATATTGTGTGCCTGATGACGCTGAATTGAGGCAGACTATCCTTACTGAGGCTCACAGTAGTCCATATGCTATGCACCCGGAGGAGATAAGATGTACCGGAATTTGAGAGAGAGGTATTATTGGACTGGTATGAAGAAAGACATATCTGACTTTGTGGCTAGGTGTTTGACTTGTCAGCAAGTTAAGGCAGAACATCAACATCCATCAGGTTTGTTACAGCCTATCAAGATTCCTGAATGGAAATGGGAGCGTATTACTATGGATTTTGTTACTGGCTTGCCTATGACTCCTTTGAAAAAAAATTCAGTTTGGGTGATTGTTGACAGACTTACAAAGTCAGCTCACTTCATTCCTGTGCGAGTAAATTATACTTTGGATAAGCTGGCAAGATTGTATATTTCAGAGATTGTCAGATTGCATGGTATTCCATTGTCTATTATTTCTGATCGAGATCCGAGATTTACTTCGAGATTTTGGAAGGCGTTACATACGGCTTTGGGAACAAGATTGGATTATAGTACATCCTTTCATCCACAAACTGATGGTCAATCTGAGAGAGTAATTCAGATTCTGGAGGATATGTTGCGGGGTTGCGTAATCGATTTCATGGTAGTTGGGAGAACTTTTTGCCGTTGGCTGAATTTGCTTACAATAACAGTTATCAGACCAGTATTCGTATGGCACCCTATGAAGCACTCTATGGGCGTAAATGTCGCACTCCGATCTGTTGGACTGAGTTGCGTGATAGGAAAACGTTGGGACCTGAGTTAGTGCGAGAGATGGAGGACACAGTCAGATTAATCCGTGACCGTCTGAAAGAGGCATTTGATAGGCAGAAATCTTATGCAGATCAAAGAAGGAAGGATATACAGTTTGAAGTGGGAGATCGGGTCTTTTTGAAAGTTTCACCCTGGAAGAAAGTATTGAGATTCGGGCGTAAGGGTAAATTAAGTCCAAGATTTATTGGACCATTTCGTATCTTGAAGAGGGTAGGACCTGTTGCATATCAGCTTGAGTTACCTTCTGAGTTAAGTCGTATTCATGATTTTTCATGTATCAATGTTGAGGAGATACCGTCCAGATCCAGGTCACATTATTCAGGTTGAAGAAGTAGAGCTAAGACCTGATTTGTCATATGAGGAGGAGCCCATTCAGATTTTAGAAAGAGATGAAAGAGTTCTTCGGAATAGGCGAATTCCAATGGTCAAAGTTCAGTGGAGTAATCGAGGCCCCTCAGAAGCTACTTGGGAGACATTGGAGTCAATGGAGGCTCAGTTTCCTCAACTATTCTCATAAGGTAAATTTCGAGGACGAAATTTCTTGTAGAGGGGGAGAATTGTAACAACCCGGAATAAAATTTAGAGAAAAAAAATTTAATTAAGTAATTTGGCAAAATTTGAGGATTAAATCGAAAGTTTTCAAAATTATAGGCCATTTTAGAAGTTAAAGGAAATTCAGGGACCAAGCCCTGCATTACTCCTTTTAGTGTCGGCAGAAAATTTCATTTAAGGGTATGAATGGTTTTCTGTTTTCAAAACAGAAAACAATTGTGAAATTCCTCCTCCCGCACTCTACTTCAAAGCCGATTCCGACGCCGTCCGAATTCCGATCGTTGTTTTGAAACCACCGTTGTGTTCATCATCGAGCGAGGAACAAACCCTTCAAATTAATTGAAGCGAAACGCGGCCAAACGTCGGGAATTTCCAGTCAAAGTAGCGACGGTTTTGTTAGCTCTATCGCCGAGGAAATCTTAAATTCACCGCTGATCGTTGCTCCGTTTACGACACCTCCCGCACCATCGTGTTCCTTGTGCCGTTCCGAGTTCACCGGTGTCAACCTTGTCCGCCGTAGACGGCGGCGCGTGAGGAGGTGGTGCAGTCAAAGATTCGGCCGATTTGAAATCGAGCTCTCCGCCGTTCAAAAATTTGAACCGATCGTTGTAAGTATCTTGAAATCGCTCAAAATAATTTTTAGAAATTTTTTCGGGATTTTTAGGGCCCCGGAGGACGCCTCACGCGCCACACGCGCCGCCGCAGGGCGAGTGGCTGCTGGAAACCGGTTTAACCGGTTTTCAACCGGTTCTGACCGGTTTGACCGGTTTCAACCGGTTCGAACCGGTTTGACCGGTCTGAATCGGTTTGACCGGTCTGACCCGACCCGACCGTTGACCTTACCCGACCCGACCGTTGACCCGACCCGACCCGACCGTTGACCGTTGACCGTTGACTTTCTTTGACCAAAACTTAAAATGGCTTTGACCGAGCATTAAACGACCGTTAATCTTTTCCGAGTATACCTATCCTGATAGTTTTCGACGTGCCGAATCCGTTTCCGTGGTCCGTTTTGTCAAATTCGAATCCGAAGGTCTCCAAATCTACGGTCAAAGTGGTTGACTTTGACTTTGACCAAGAATTTGAATTTTCGAAAAGTCATACTTTATGTTTTTCGACGCCCTGATTCCGATTCCGTAATCCGTTTGGCCAAATTCAGACTCGAAATACCTCAAATTGATAGTCAAACCCGAAAAATGCGTATATACTTAAGAAGTTTAGCTTTGAACAATTAAATAGGATTTGAGACTGATAAATATTATTGTTTGAAGGTACAAGAGACTCTCCGGATCGTTCGACAGCTCGACCCAGCTCTTCTAGATCAGTTAAACCACGTGTGCCAGTATTTACCCGTTCGAAAACTGTAGCAGAGCGTGGTGAAACCAGCAATCAGTAGATTTGTTATTTGAATCTATTGTCGAGGTGTGTTCCCTACTTGTTATTGAACTGTTTTATTGGTTTTAATACGTGGTACACCGAATTCATTGGCTATTGTTTTATGGATGCACCAATTTAATGTGACAATTTATGGAATATGGCTGCTATCTAATTTTTGTTTTGAAATGGTATATGATTACCATGTTTTTGGATTTATGGAGTTTATGTCACGGTGCAATTGAATTTTGGAATTGAAATACGATGGAATAGCTCTGATCAAGCTAACTGGGCCTAATGTGACTCTTGAGGGCCCCAAGATGTTTCATTAGGTCGGCTTTCCTTTGCTGTGTGCTTAGGGTAAGCTATATGGACTTATTGACTTGGGCTTAAGGATACAAGCTTCAGAGCCTATCCTTAAGTCGGCTTTCTTTTTGCTATGTGCATAAATTAAGCTATATGGAAAATAATTTTGGGAACTACTGATGGTGTACCAGAAAAGGGTTTAAACTATGATTTTCAAAAAGTTAAACTCTTTTACGAATTTGTGAGATTACTGGAATATGATTTGTACCTATTGTGATTTTATGGAAATGTTGGGACACACTGAGCCTAGCTCACCTTTTGAAAATGTTTTCCCCTTTCAGATACTGTTGGGTAGATACCTTGGTTCGAGCACTTGGAGGATCAACATATCTCTTGAAGTAAATCAGATTGTAATGTTTTTATCTGGCAAGTTTACTTTATTTTGGTGACATGGACCTTATTTTAAAATATCGGATTTTATAATGATAACACTTTTGCTACTACTGCTCGGTTTATTGTGATTTTGAATTTGAAGACATGTTTTAAATTAAATTATTATTTATTTGTACTATATTTACAAGTTGGATTTTTGATAGTATAAATTGTTTATAATTTCATGTTATTATAATGTGATCCACTAGACTTAGTCGAAACGCATAGGCCGGGTCTAGGGGGTTACATTTTAGGCGGCTCCGCTGTTACTCGTAGGCCAGTGGGTGTTGCTGGTGCTACTCTTTCGACGGCGCGTGGTGGACGGTTCCGCCGGGGTAGCAGTTTCCGGACTCCAAGAATTATAAGACGTGGCCGGACTACGAGAGAGAATGCTCCGGTGACGCTCAGCCCCTTGGGCCGTGGGAGGGCCAGAGGTACGAGTATTGTATTACCTTCTCGGTACCCAAGAACTCCTCTCCGGGACATCACCGCCATTGTAAGGGTAATCGACGAATTCTCTTCTCCTTATTTATGTTTAAAATTGTTTGATTGCTATGCTCGGTTTTGAGTTCATTGAACTTTGTTTGATGTTCATATTAGTGTCTTCAATTTTTACCAGGTGTGTTGTTCTTCCATGGTTCATTTGCCTTTGATTCATGGATTCATCCTATGTTTGATGTTCAGTTAGTATTTACAGTTGCTTAACTCGAGCAACAATTATGATTTTTCACTGAATTTGATGAGAATAACCAGGCCATTGAAAGGACGAGAGCTCGGTTAGGAGATGGTGAAGGCCAAATTTTTGAGAACCCAAGAGCCCCTAATGAAAGCGTTCTTGGCTCAAACATATCATCAGTTGCTTCACTCGAGCACAATTTATCCACACCAGCTTCAACCGTTAGATTGGAGCCTCACCCTCCACCGATCCAGACCGTGTCGAAGATTCTGATCAACGTTGCCAATCAAGAACCAGAGGAATCAGCAGGGGAGCTTCTTACACCCCAAAGGAAGCTGTTGAACTCCATTGACACAGTGGAGAAAGCTGTGATGGAGGAGTTGCAGAAAATGAAGCGGACCCCAAGTGCTAAGAAAGCTCAAAGGCAAAACAAGGTCCGAACATTAATGTCGATGCGTTGATGCTGCATTCCGGCAAAAACCACCTCTCGGTGGAAGGCTGGAAGCTGTCTGATCATCCTCTGATGATATGTTTACATTTAGGTGGGTAATTTTTTCCTTCAATACTTGCTGAAGGGGTGCTGATATAAAATTTTGTAACATAAAGTTCCTTTTGTATCCTTCATTCTTTGAAGAGAATATTTTAGGGATACTGAGGACTTTTGTATTCAACTTTCATCCCAATGTAGATAATAGTAATGTACTTGTTTCTGGGTTTGATCCACTCTTTTGTAACACTATGTTTTGGACCTATTTGCACTTTGCAACACTAAGTTTCACATTAAGATGTACTGCTATGGATCTGTTCCCTTGCCTGTACTATGTTCCCTCAAGACGACAAAAATATCCGAACTTGCTGGATTATGATACGATACGGTTGATTTTTTTAAAATCGAGTTCTAGGACAAGACAGGTAAGACAAATATTCAATCAGATTAAGAACATAACACAATTCATGTAACAAAATTTGAGGTTTTCTGCATAAAAAAGCAAAAGATGATACCACAAAAAAATAGGTTTTTCCTCGTATAACATCTGTTAATAAAATCATTGATGCTATGAAACCAAGCTAAGTGGCAAATTCCATCTAGAAAACAAGTTCATGAGGTTTCATGCCAGACTTCAGAGAAAATCTAGCGGCGAGATAGGCCTCCATGTCGGGGACGGTCTCGATGGACTTCAGTAACGAGGCATCGACAGCTTTCTGGTCACCTTCCTTATCTTCGGGCAGTTTCTTCTTATCCTATAAGAGATGGACAACTAGGAAATCAATTTATATTAATGGAATTTGTACGGCTTGAATTAAAATAAATGCAAAACTGTGAACCTCCTTTTCAGCTCCGAAAGACTCTCCCTCGCTCTTCTTTGTCTTCTTCACCACTTCCTTGGTGAAGTACTTGTCGTCAAGCTTGTCTACGTTAACCCCAGAGATGTCAATCTCGGTGGAAGTAGCAATAACGTATGACTTGTTCACACGCCTTAAAGGGACACCATTGATCTTAAATGGTCCTGCAATGGAAGGGAATTCCCAATTCATGGAAAGAAAGACAAATATCAAACAACAAAAGATATTATACATAAAAGCAAAAACCAAGTTCACAATGAACAGCAGACAAATAAGGATAACTGATAATCTAGCCACACTAGGTACAAATTTGGATAACATGCCAAATACAGCACACATAAAACCATCGACTAGGTCTCTCGGGTTATTTAAGCATCCATGCTATACATCTACATTAGTTGGACTCTAGTGCGAGTATCAAATACAGACAAGTTTTAAGCTCGGGATAAACTCATTGATGAATCTTCGGGAGAGGTAAATTCTATGTTAGAAGATTTTCATAAACTACCCTAAAAAGAGTGTTTGGGGGGGGGGGATACATGCCAAGAAGTTTCAACTTCACATTGCAGGTTTTCTTCCGCTTGGAGCTTACGACACCAGTATGTCCAATCGAGGACATGGTAAATCATATAACCACCATTGTTTGATGAACAACTTACACATATTTGGAATGGTAGACCTTTGTTTCATATATTAAACTTGAAAATGACTAGGAAAATTTATAATACACTTTCGAAACGTGGAACTTACTTAGGTTAGTCTGATGACGCTTTCGGTATTTTCTTTATTGCTTTGGGTCACCGGCGGATTCAGAAATATTTTATATGTTAACAATGTAAAATTTTTAAATAGGATGAGTACATATAAAATTTCAGGGTGAGCATCTGTCCGTAAAATAAATAACTATTTGAAAAAAATTCATATTTCAAGTGGACACAATTAATAAAATAAATATGTAACATAATGTAAAATTTAACAGTCAAGAATTTCGTTAATAGGTTAACGGATTGAATGACTTAAATCGAACAAATATGTAACATAAGGGACCAAGTGCACTTAATTAAAAAACTAGTGACCGAAGTCGGTCACACTGAAAACAAAGGGGACTATTGGTTTAATTTACCCAAACATAATATAAAAATTTTAGGGTAAAGTATACAAATGGTCTCCCAACTATAAGCTACTATTTTATTAAGTTTTTTGACTATTAAAAGTTACAAAACGATCCTTTGACTATAGAGTGTTCCTTTGTTGAGTTATTCGACTATTAAAAGTTTTAGGATAATATTTTATCATATTACAGCCAATAGATTAACATTCAACTTAGAATGTCGTCAATTTTTTAACGAAAAAAGATGCGTTTGGAACATAATGAATAGTCGGATGACCATTTTGTAACCTTTAATAGTCGAGGGACGCAACAAAGCAACACCTATAGTCAGAGGACCATTTTGTAACTTTTAATAGTCAAGTGACTTAAAAGGGACCATTTGTGTACTTTACCCAAAATTTTAAATATTGTTTTGATTAAGCTAAGGTAATTACAAAGACATATCTCTTTTAAATACTCTCAATCATTTTGACAATGAACGCTCAATCACTCTACTGCAGCCGTTGATGCTCGAACCCGTGATCTCTATAAACAACAACAATTCCTTCAACCACCTAGGCAAGTTGGTTCGTGTCAAAATTTTAAATATTTAAATCCACACTAACTATCACTTAACATTTTCCATGCAGATTGAATCTAAATTTGGTTGATATCGTCATTATTATTGTAATGTATACAAGAATACAAAATTTAGTATACTTAAATATGTATTATCTTTTGATTTATGAGCGTAAAGAGATTCGGAATTTCGGATAATATTCAAGCTTTATACTATAAAAGCATGAACCCTTCCTAAATAAATAACAGAACTTTGTATAGTCCTGCCTGACTCACTGATTCAGGCAGCAGCAATGGCAAATTCAGGGGATAGTTTGGGTTTATTTGATTAAATTATAAAATCCGGTGCCCGAACCACTACGAGTACTACACGAGATGGACACGAAAACCGGTCGACATGCACCGGAAAGAGAAACGGAACGGACTTAGAGCGACCAGTGAACGTGCGGTGTGGAGTGTGTCACACGGCCTGGATTGCTGCTGCATTTCTATGCATTGCCTCCCGTTTTGCTGAACCAACTAGAGCCTGCCGAAATGTTGAGCACTAACTAGGTCCAAGGTTCCGGTTAAGTCCCACGAGGCGTTCGAATACGGGTTCATGACTGCGCCACCGCCACGGGGAATTGGTGGTTGAGCCGGAGACGACGACCCTTCGGTAACTCGATCGAATCTGGCATTTCCCCTCGCAAATGCCATCCCTGCCCTATGCTTTAGGCCAAAGGATCTACACTTGCATTCTCCTTGTACGTAAAGAGCATACATTCTCGGCCTTTTCGAATTAAAAACATTAGTATTCGAATCCATGGAATGTTACAAGACAGGCACTTGTAAACTCATCTAGGAACTCGAATCCGAAATCATCCATTCCGCGAAATCGAATCCCGAACCCACATCAAACGGATCAAGTGTGACAAAAGGAAACAACTAAACTCATACAAGAGCAAGCAATTATTACTTTTGGTATGAAAACAGAAGGAAGAATTCTCGGAGATGGTTATCCGGAACCTCATCACTTGCACTCGACAACAGCTTCGGCAGCCCGTCGAGGTTTGTTTTTACGCCTGCTACCGTTTTGTCGATATCCAACAGGTTTTATCGAATCACCTGTGCTTAACTTCGTTGCGATCCCGTTCTCTTTTGCCTGCATAGGCCTATTCCGTTTCCTTGCGTTCTCCTTGGCAGGCAGATTTTTCATCTCCTTGATAGGAACCGAACCGCTTACGTCTTCACCGTCTGCTTCGATCTTCTCCGCTCCGTCATCCTTGACATCGTTGTTCGATTGCATCTGCAGCCTCCCTCCTCCGTTACTCGCCGGAATGCTTTCTTCATCGCCGCTCCCGGGATCTTCATGAGACGAAGCAACAGCATGCTTCATTACTTTTCCTCTACCTCTCCTCATGGTGCAAATTAACCACTTCAAAGACAATTTTGAACAACTTAACAAGGTTCCTGCAACAAAAAAAACATCGAGTTCAGTCGAAAAAATGGAAATCTCAAACCCCATTTTCCGAATGAAACGAAAAGATCAAGCAATGTGTATATAACACTCACCTAAACCAGAACAGAAATTCCTGGATGAATCGTCCAACAGCAGGGTTTAGCCTTTCTAAAACAATAGGAAAGTCAATTTTCTGGGTTTATTTTCTCTTCCTGTTTCCTACATTTTCTGGGAAAATATCAAAGCATAAGAAAAAGTTCAAAATCAACCTAATTTCAAGCTGTGCATTTAACCAACAACAACTACAACACAACGATACAATCTTCAATTTTCAGCAACCAACAACCAATTATAGGAAAGCCACAAATCCATTCAAAAGCCTTAATTTCAAAGCTTTCATCTTGTAGTAATCAAAGATTGAGTAAAGCAAAAGTATAGAGATTCTTAGTTTGCTATAATTACACCACCAAACAGAGCATTAGCTCCTCATTATGCAATACACCTATAAAGAAATGAAGCTGACCCTGAAACAAAGATCAATACTTTGCATCTTTGAAACAAAACCCATTTCTCATAATCTCATTGTACAAATCCTCCAAGAAAAAAAGAGGTTTTATATATATATATATATATATATATAGAGAGAGAGAGAGAGAGGGTGGTGGCTTTTGGGTTGTAAAGGCATGCAAGTTGAATGGGTAAGCATTAAGCAATATGGCGGACAACATAGAAGCTGACAACACATCGTGTGGTTCTTCACTTTCCATCTAATGTGCTCATATTTTCTCACTAACCAAACAAGGGGGAGAACGAACAGCTAATGTCTTGTTTTTTTCTATATTGCTCGTATTCGACTATAACTATCAAATGGTATTAGTTGGTTTAGAGAGGTAAAATATTAAACTAATCGAAGTTACAGAATCAAATTCGATTATCATGATTAGAACAAACTAGATTGATGGAACGTCCTACAATAAATTTAATCGAACCTCTTCATTTACATACAATTTCTTTACATCTCTTACTTGAACTTAAATAGAAGAATTGAAAGAATGTAAAGAATCAAAGATCTAAAGTTTGAAAAACAAAGAAACGAAGATGAGACTGAATCGAATTCTAGTTCTGGGTCGGATTCGAAACACTCTTTGGTGCTTCCCTTAGACTTGGCTCCACAGCTTTCTTGTTCTTCTCTTCAATGGCGCCATTGATGAACTTGCTTTGAGCTTTACCAGTAATAAATGAAGAAAAAGAAGAAGACAGTGCTACCATCTTTGTGGGAATATCCTGATGTCTTTCTCCATGGCTGATCAAACTCAATGAAGAGCACATAAAAAAGATGCAAAGTAGAATTAAAACAAAGAAAGCTGTTGAATTAATGGAGATTATCTTCATTGGAGGCGAAGTTTCAGTGAATGGAAAATTATCAGAGTTGAAGAAATATGAAACCTTGGAGCAGGTTTATAAGGGCCAATAACATGCATGCGTGTCCTTTTTGCACGTGGTTTGCCTCTTCCATGAGCCCTCCACTAGCATGTAATAAATTTATACATTCTTTATCAACAACAATATATCATATAAATGGATTAATTATAATGATGTCAATTTTTAAAAAATATATAAATAGAAAAATGACAATAAAACCGAAAAATATGCAAAAAAAAACATAAGAAAATGTGATATAAAGTCAGATGAAAGCGTATAATACAATCAAACTTATTAAAAATAAAAAAACAAAAAAGATATGGTATAAAAGAGAGAGAAAACAATAAAGAATATCAACGGTTGGCAACCAACATTAAAGTTGGTGCCACCGTCGATAAAAAAGAGAAGAGCTGCACACCATTGAGAAAAAACTAGGTTTTTAGATATTTTTAACGTGCCTTCATAGATACATTTACTTTTAAATTTCATGATTGGCCACTACATTTATTATCAATCCACTATATTCTATGGGATAAGATTCAATTACATAGTGTAAAACATTTTAGTTTTATACAGATTTAGAATCGTTAGATGAGAAAAAAATAACGCGTTGAAATTAACTGTAGAAAATAAAAAGATATTTACTAAAAAATGATGAATTAATCTCAATATTCTATTTTCACTCACCTATGATTCAACGATTCTAAAACTGTGTAAACCTAAACATATTATATTATGTAATTAAATCCTAACTCATATTATATATATCGAATCGACTTGAATTTTTTCCGATTCAAGTTAATAATCAAAAGTTTGAAAATTTCTTAAACTAAAGCCCAAACCTAGTCCGGTTGAGCAAAGTCGTTAAACCTAGGTCCATGGCATCTTCAAAATCAACAAGACGAAGGCAAAACAGGCTGGAATATTACTCCAACGAAGCAGCCCAGTGCCATTTCTTATTTTTAATTTGCTAATTAATTATTTAATATAAAAAGGTATCATATATCTATGTACTTTTTTAAAAAAATTAATATAGTTTTGTATTATTTCTCTCTTAATATAATCATTAAACTCAAAAAATAAATTCAATATGATCCTTTGATCAACGTTTTTCGACAGTTAATATACTAAAATGCTAGTGTTGACATGACTATCACGGTCAGGGCCGACCCTGGGCATAGGCTAGGGGGGCGACCGCCTAGGGCCTCAAGCTTGGAGGGATCAATTTTTTAAATTATTTTTAAATTTAATAATTAAAAAATATTTTTAAACGTACTTTTTTATTTTAAATACTCTAAAATATGACAATTTAATGAGCTCCAATAATTAAAAAATATTTTTAAATATTATTTTTTATTTAAAAAACTCGAAAATATGGTAATTAAGTGGGCCCCATTTTAATGATAGGTGAAATCTATGTATGAATCTCACTTATCTTCTTGTCATTACCTTCTGGCCTAGGACCCTTAAAATATCAAGATCAGACCTGATCACGGTACTGACATGACAGCTCATCTGCTTCCCTACGTTGTTTCCAATAATTTGCTGAGTGAAGTAGAGAGCCAAGAACTTCACCCACAAACTGCAATTGCACCAACGTCTTGCTGTACTTTTTGATTTATGGTATACGACAAAAAGGAAAAGCACGTCAATAGGGATTCTAATAACCTTATGAAATATTTATATGTGTGTGCTCACCCTAAATTTTTTTTTTAGATCTGCCACTGTTCGAGAGGCTCTTAAGTTTGGGAGGTAAAATTTAAAAAACTTGAAACTTTTGGAACCAAACACAAATAATCACAATTCCGTGTATTAATTATAAGGATTAAACTATAATTTAGAGAAAATTAAAGGACTAAAATAAAGTTTTGCATTTCTCGAGGCAAAGGCCTACAGTTTTTTTCCTTTTTTGGAATTGCATGTAAGTGCCACTTGTGGACACGTAAGGCTTATCTTTTCTTACGTGGCGGCATAGTTTTGTCACTCATCGGAGGATATGTGGTGTGGCGACACCTACTTTTAAAAGTTTTAGAGGTTAAAATTAATTTTTTTAAAAAAAATTGAATGATTTTAATTTACATTTAAAAAAAATTGGAGTCTAATTATTTTTTTTTGAAAATTTAAAAGGTTTAATGAGAATTTTTAAAAAGTATGGGATAGGTTTAATTAAGAAGATTCATAAATTTAAAAGCTTAATTTGAATTACTAAAATTTTGTAGGGCCAAAATTATATTTTTAAAAATTTTAAGACTCATAATTATATTTTTTTCAAAATTTGGGGCCATGGCCCCAATAGCCTTCACTGTGTTTCACCTCAGGTTGTAAATTAGATGAGAGATATCGTGAGTTATTCGAGATCAATTAGGTCAAAACTCGATAAGTACTCTATTCGAACTCAAACTCGAATCAAGTTCTTAATAAGCCGAAATGAGCTACTTGATCTTAACTCGAAAAATTAGCTAGCAGCTCGAAAATATAATATATAATTTTTTTTGTTAAAAAATAGAATTAAAAATGACAGCGGTAGTGATCGATAGCCATGATACCTTTTACAAGAAAAATGAGCACGAGAAATTATTATTGTAAAAACGATAAAATATAACTATGAATGTGTAATTACATTCTTAATTGGTGAGGGTAAAAGCCCTAGTTCCTTCTCAACTTTTGCACCGTTTGTTGGCTTTATATATATATATTAATAATTTTGTTTTTATGGTATGATTTTTTCTGTCATTTTGGTCGTTCTATTTGTTTAATTTTCTCGTGTTGAATTTTATGTCTAATCGATTGATCAAAATGATATTTATTTGTTATCATATTGATCTGCATTGTCTTTGATCATCATATTAAATTTGAATACACAATTTATAATTAGATACATTTTTTACATGATGCTCGACTCTAATTTTCTATTATTGATGATCTTTCAGTAGTTTGATCTACTGTTGTGGTTTGTTTGATGATAAAATCGAATCTATTCGTATCTATATTTTGTTCTAGTTTTTCTAGATGAATTTTTAACCTTTTCATTTAATGGTTTTCGTATGATTTTATGTGGTTAATTTTTTTATGTCAATCATTATAAAAAATATCATAATTATATATTTAATTTATGTAAATAATAAATAAAAAACAGTGTTGTTATATAAATTTGAATAATATAAATTGAAAAATATACATAGTTAAAGACTTTATTGAGATTATTATTAAATATTTAATCTAATATGTAATTTAATATTTAAAAATGATATAATTACGGATTTTTGTTCTATTAGGAAGGATTGGTTGAGTTGGAAAGGCTCTTCCGATGCATTTTTCTCGGTTAAATCTTCTTGTAGGTTATCTTCCTTGTTTTTTTCATTTTTTTTTTTTAAAGAAACCGAGTCTCATTAAAAACATATTCTAAGATTTATAAAGGAAAAATAATGGCTTAATACCTCATATTTTTTTTGTCTACATGATCGGACCCGAAAAATATAAATCTTCTACCAAACCTGACAAGAAAAATATGCACTTTCCACTCGATTAGAATTCGATCTGATTTTTTAAGATAAAATTCGAAGCCGCCCCGACCTGGCCCAAAATAATATATTTATTAAAAAATGTTATTCTTATTCAATAAAAAATAAAAAATTAATTGAAAGGAAATAATATATAGAAGAGTATTATTGTAATTATACCTAAATATATAAGGTAAAATTATATTTTTCGGGTTGGATCGGACATTTTTCACCCAAAACCTGAACTTGACCCGACCCGACCTCTTTTTTTTTTTTTTAAATCGACCTGATCTAGTCGAGTCAAAACACATTAAATTCGAGTTCAATGCTATCCCCTTGATACAACAGACATAATAATCTCGGGACAAACCGAGTCAAAA